AGTTAAAAAAGTATATAGCAAATTACAAAACTTGGAAGTGTAATAAGCAATAAGTCAACTTGATTAGAGTTTTAATTGGATTGTTAATTTTAGAACATATAGCATAGCAAATATATAGAAATATTTTTTTTATTTTGCCTTAATAAAAAAAATTTTTTTTAAAATATTAACATCTGTATTAATTAAAGTACAGGCTAAATTTATTAAATATATAGATAATGTGGGCCAGACTTTTTAGCTATAAGAGTTATCCGCCAATTTTAAGACCATTGTATTCTTTTATTTAAAAAAAAAATGATATTAATGTATTGGATCGGGGGCCATGAATATGAATCGGGTGAAGGTAAGACAAAAAAAAATTTGAAAGTTTAACCTTTATTTTATATACTGTCAAAGTAATTTGGTAAACCGTGAGGTAATTTGGAAGTTAGATGAGAGGTATGTTTGGGCGTTTCATTTTGGCAAATAGACATAAATATAAAATTTGCAATCTATTAAATTTAATAAATAACAATATTTTCAAAAGGTTTACATTGCTAATCTATTTTATTCATAATTTATTATTCTAAAGACAGATATGTACTGCCAGTAGAATAAAATAATAATACGAAGCAACGAAACATAAGCCTGTGAACTTTGTCACGTCTAAGGTTACAGTCGGATCTCTAAATGCACATGCACGCTATAGGGATCAAACTTTTAGCAACTGTGTTTAGAGTACAATAAGAAAAAAAAAAGCGTATTTCTGGAGGTCAGGAATATATTTGGGCCAGAATTGAGAGTACGTTTAGAGAGGTTGTGCGTTTAGCTCTTAGAGAAGTCTAGTTATATTTAGAATTAAGATTAAAATTCGTTGGTATTAGTTAACTGATATTATATATAATTAAAGTCTTTTTTATTGCTTTCTACAGTAAGTTTTATGTTTATTTATTTATTTATTTATTTTTGAGGGCGTTTGATTTTTTTCTTTTTCGTACGATAGTATTTTTTTTTTTTTAATAAAACTTTGGATCATAGATTCTGTTTGTACCGAGATAATTGAGTTTTGAGTTGCTGATAATGCATTTATTTATGCTAATTTAAATTTTAGCTATTAATTATTTTTTATATAAAATAAATCTTGCGAAGAATTATTTTTCATAGATAAAATAAATCAATCTTGCGAACAATTTCGATTATCCAATAATATTTTTCCCATGTGATGAGATGATCTACAAAAATCAGCCAATTACAATGAAAGCCCGCTATGCTGTTAAGATGTATGTACGTATAATTAAAAATTGTTCTTTGCGTAAGAGTTTGGTGCTTAAGAATATTTAGTATTAGTAGTATCGTTATTTATTTGTCATCTTAATAAATATTTATGACTTGTCATTTTGCCATGGTTTTATATAAATTTTTTTTTTATAATAAAATGACATTGTCATTTTAAAATGATGTGTCATTTACAGTCATTTCATAAAAATTTTTATGACTTTGTCATTCGCCATCACTGGTTCAAGGAGGTAGAATGCTTTATAAGATCAAAGGAGGGACTCGGTCAAAGGTGATGATTAGAACTTTAAGAATAAGGTTTATAAAGACCAAATGAATGCACGTCTATGCAATGTCCGGCATGAAATAAATGAAATTGATCTGCAGTCTATTATTACATTAGAAGAATAATGTCAGATTGGTTTTGTAAAATTAAATTCTTAGATAAATCAATGCAAATAATTAATTTTGCATGCGTAATTAACAATTTACAATTGTATATTAAATTAATTTAAAAAAAGTTTTCTCTTTTCGATAAACTATATAAATAAGGCTTATCCGTTTTCTACAAAAACCAAAAAATTTATATATTCAAAAAATTCAAAAATCCATAGAATATAATTCAATCTTTTATAATTAAATAATAACTTTCCAAGCAAGATGAAGTTTATTAGAAACCCCATAATTATCCTGTTGATTATGACGTCAATGTATACTATTTTCGTTTTCGGTGATGGTAAGGATAATTATTAAAATTTGACTTTTTTTTTTTTAGCGATATGTTTTAATCACAATATTTGTAAAACATTAATTTTTCTAAAAAGTTTAATTATAATTTAATGCCTTAATCAACTAATTATTTCTTTGAAAATGTATGTAAATTTTAATTTAGGTACTCCTTTTTTTTGTCCAGCGGAAAATGCTGCGGATAACCCTAATGGACTTTACGCTAATCCAGATAATTGTACCACATTCTACCAGTGCTTTCACGGTTATGCATATTTGATGAGTTGCCCCGGTAATTTACAATGGAGTTCAAAATGCTTATGGTGTGACTGGCCAGAAAATTCTGATTGCGGGGCCCAACAACAATAATGGCAATTAGCGTCTATAAACTATATTATGCAGGAGGGTGGTGGGTCTCAAGTTACATAATAACTTTATAAATAGACTATAAAAATGTAACGCAAATTTGGTTTTCTTTATTTCAAATATTATAAGTATTGTTAAACTAATACAATATAGCAATCAGGAATCAAAAAGTCAATAAAATAACTATCTATAACTAATCTTTAACGCAAGACCAATATTAAATCAATAATTGCGCTGCATTTAAAATATTTTGGTTTGCAGGGCATAATCATGTTTGTGGGTAGCATAATGCATTTTGGTTTTGAATCAAAGAATTCTAATTTAAAAATATTTTTAAAAACTAACTTGCTAATATAATCATAAAGAAATAAGAATACAGTAAAAATAAATAAAAAGAAAAAAAAAAAGTAAAAAAGTGGGCATTAGAACGTGTACAGAACGTGTACGCTTTGTCGAACACCTTGTATAGCGCGAGATGTATTTTATCAAATATACAAAAAAAATGTGTAATACGAATATAGAAGTGGTCATATATTTGTAACAGTCGTTTGCGTTTCGCATTTTATCTTGTTATTTATCTGAGGCTACATACGTACTGTACGTTCATAAAATTTTTGTATTTTTTTCAGTATGATAACATAATCAAATGAATGCTACTATACAATATTTAATAATCAAATTATAAACATTTGTAAACCGTCAATGGTACAGAATTGTTATACCAATATTGTGGAGCGAACCAGAACACCATTTTGGATATCAATTTATAAAAATATTACTTTTAACGTTAAATCATGAAAAGAAAACTCTTATAACTTCTTTTAAAATTATCCTTCTGAGTCGCTCAAAACTATTATTTGAGTATGCATGTTATATCAATCTATTACCAACATTTATTAGTATTTTGGAGTTAGAAATTGGCTACGTTATAAAATATATAAAACAGAATATACAGTAATCTTGAAAATGCTATTAAATGTTCTTTAACTAGTAAGAATCTTAAATTTTTAGATCTTAATGAAATTATTTGCAAACAAATAATATTTAAAAATCTTCATAAGAACACTACTACCTCTATGAATTTAAATAATATCGATAATTTTAAATATAACGATACGGCAATAGACGTTCCTTTATAAAAATTCTACTTGACTTCTTTGAAATTTATGTCAATTCAAATTCAACGTGAGTCTTACGGTGTGAAAAGGACGTCAGAGACTCTATAAAAACACTGCCTTAAATTCTTTAGATCTATGTAGGATTTAGATTAATACTGAAGGTGAAGGTTTTAGCAAAGTTTCTTTGAAAGAACACAACGCCGACTTCTTTGAAACTTGATACAAATAATCTTGAACCCGAAGGAGGGAAAATATTAGCAAACATCACATTGACTTCTTTGAATTTTGGACAGAGTAATCTTAGAGCAGAAGGAGGAAAAGCACTAACAGATGCACTTTGTAAAAACATCACGCTTACTTCTTTGAATCTTCAGCTTAATGAACTTAGGTTAGAAGGAGGAAAAGTATTAGCATATACACTTTGCAAGACACCACACTGACTTATTTGAATCTTAAACATAATTATCTTGGAGCAGAAAGAGGAAAAAAATTAGCGGATGCACTTTGTAAAAACATCACTCTGACTTTGAATCTTAATGATACTGAACTCGGACCAGAAAGAGGAAAAGCATTAGCTAATGAATTTGCAAGAACACCAAGCTGACTTCATTGAAACTTTGTTTTAATAGTCTTGGAATAGAAGGTGGAAGAGCATTTGCAGATGTACTTTGCAAGAACACCATGCTAACTTCTTTGGATCTTGCTAGTAATAAGCTTGGATCAGAAGGAAGAAAAGCATTATCAAATGCACTTTGCAAGAACGCCACACTGACTTCTTTGAATCTCTTTAATAACAGACTTTGATCAAAGGGGAAAAGCATTAGTAGATGCGCTTTGCAAGAATACCATTCTTACTTCTTTGGACCTTAATGGTAATGAATTTTGATCAAAAGGAGGAAAAACATTAACAGATGCACTTCGCAAGAATACTACGTTTACTTCCTTGGATCTTCAAAAGAATAGGCTTGTATCAGAAGAAGAAAAAGCGTTAGATATTTCACTTTGCAAGAATGCCACGCTGACTTATTTGAATCTTCAATTTAATGATCTTGGGTCAAAAGAAGAAAAAGCATTGGCAAATGCATTTCGATGCTGACTTGAAGTATTAACAGATGCATTTCGCAAGAACACCATGCTGACTTCTTAGATGTATTAACAGATGCGCTTTACAAGAAAACTACTCTGACATCTTTGAATCTTTATTAAAAATAATAATTTGGGGCCAAAATGAGGAAATGTGTTAGTTGATGCATTTATAAAATCTTTCTGAATCAGAAGGATATATTTCTCATGATTATTTTGAATAATAAACTTAGATCAGAAGGAGAAAATGCATTAGCAAATGTATTTTGCAAGAATTATAGTTAACGTCAAAAATTACCGAATTGTGGTATTGCAAGTTAATTGTAGAATTAATTATGACATTGCACCTGAATGCCATAAAAGCCACAACCTGTGTTCAGGTTTATTTGGCATAGTAACTAAGTAGAATATTAATTTCTCATTTAGATAAAATATTTAATAATACTAAATTTCTTTTTATAATAATCATTATAACTAATATTAAAACATCAAATAAAAAATATATTGATTTTTACTTTGATTGCTGGTTAAAATTCTCATAGCATTAGAGAAGCATCACTATTATGAACGATAGTATTAGTGAATTGATGATATTATTAAAAGTGATGGTAATTACGAATAAAATCTTGGTTGTTTGAATTTTAACTTGTGCTTTATTTTTTTTTAATCCAGTCATTAAATTCTTGTTCATTTTTTAAACTTTTTTTTATCAGCGTCTGCTTATTTTATTATGAAAGCTTATCTTATATTCGGAACCCTTTTTATATTTTATATTAAGATTCTTCGCCATAATTTTCGTACAGGCCAAACACACCAACATAAATATTGGACATGCATTTTAGAGAAAACTTAATTTTTAAATATTGTCAGTATATTATCGCTGTTTTAATATATATATACTAATTCATCTCAAGTCAAAAGTTTATCGCTGCCGAATCAAGCACTTACCGAATCGATCAAATAATAATTTGGACAAAAATTTATGAAAACAGCTGTAATAATTTACAGCTATTTTCTTATATTCTGAGATACAGGGTTGGCATTGGACAATTGGATATTTGGACATTTTGACATTTGGACATAATCCAAATGTCCAAATAAATTTTTGGCCTTCAGGCATTGGACAATGTTTCAATTAAATTTTAAGGTTATTGGACATTTGTCCAATTAATCAATTGGACATATGTCAAATTGTCCAATAATTTTATTGGGCAATTTTAATAATATGACGATAAAATTTAACTACAATAATGATGTTTATCAATTTTATTTTATTTCATATAAACTATTTTTACTCTTTAATTTACAATGATAAATGTTTCTAATTCAAATTTTCGACCTTGGCTAATTTATTTTATTTGGTGTTTTTCTCTAATAATATGGCTTTATTTTTTTAAGAAGTTAAAAATAAAATCAACTGTTGTCATTATTATTTCTGAAATACAAATCATTTTAAAGTTTCTAGCATTCTGTTTGATTATTCCTATTCCACTAGGGCAATACCAAATATATATTTTAAAAGTATCTAGTGTGTGTATGTACAGTACATATATGATTATGTTGTACGTAAAATAGAATTTAAGTTGATTTAGTAGTGTGAATACATATGCATAATAATAATAATAATAATTATCAATATACTTTTTAAAATATACTGTAAATTAGAGATATTTTGTATTAGTGAAAATTGGCCCGAATTAAGTTTGATTTAGGCCAAGGCTAAATTTTTTTTTTTTTTATGTCCAATAAAAAAATTTACTATGTCCAAATGTCCAATATCTTAACATGCCATCCCTGCTGAGATAATTGAAAAAATTGCCGACGACCGAATCAATAAGTTTCTGATGTCGGCTGATTTCAGTAACTTATTACAGCTATTATCATAATTCCTGAAAAAACTAGCCGAATGATTTTTTCGGCCGAGTCGGTCAAATTGATACAGATCGTTATAATGGTTGTGTCAACATTATTAAATTTTCGTTTGAATGCTTGCCCAACACGTTTCGCTTGTATGAAAAAGATTAAATATGATCAAGAATTTCGTCGATAAGTTTAAAATGTAATTCAAAATTCAAAAAAAGACCAATACCGTAAAATTCGGACATGAGTACCCCCCTGTGCAGTGTACCCCTTGCCAGTTTGAGAGGCCCGACGGTGACTTATACCCGGGGTACATAAGTATGGTATATATAGTAAAATATATTGTTTCATATAGTGTAGAAGTACCCGGGTACAGAGATTGAGATATGTAAATACCCGGGGTACACATGTCCGAATTTTACGGTATATGTCGAAAAAAACAGAGTGATGTAAATTTTCCAATAAAACCATATTTCGAGAGTGCTTGAGAACACAATTTATAGAAGATCTGCAATTTTTTGAGCTGATGAGCCTTCTAAATTATTTACCAGCGAAAATGGTATGAAAGTCTCATTTCTGCATTTCAACTGGAGCTATGCGTATGTAACCTTATAATTAAGGGTTTAATTATACCGGTATAATATAGTACCGAGTATAATACTGTACAATACTGTATAACATAGCAGATAGTATAATCTGTATAATCACTTTTATACGCCCAGTCTAATATGGTTCGGAATTTTTCTGAATTTTCTAGTTGTTTGTATCGGAAAGCTTCGGAGATTTTGTAATCTCGACTTCACACTGATAAAGTAATTTAATTGGCTAACTATTTCTAACTATTGGTATCATACATATACCCATGTGTATAATACTAGGTATTATACTAGTATTATACCAATAGTATAATACAGTATAGTTAAACTTTAAAACCCTACTTATAATATTTATATTATTCACCTGATCTAAATCACATATATATAACAATTTATTGAAAATATTACAAACTTAACTGAATTAGCCGAAAAATCATTCAGCTAATTTTTTATCAGGTGCCCAGGATTTATGATGATAACTGTAAAAAAATTATTAAAAAAAAAAGGATCAAAAGACTGATTTTAGGATAGAAACCGAACTATTATGTCGTCCTACAATGACAGAGAGGACCGATCCATCTATAAGTAAATTACCCTATAAGGAACTTTAAAATTTTTACTACAAGAACTGTCAGTTCATTATAAAGAGAGTTGGTTATATCTATTCAGTTAATAGCAGCGTGAATTTGCTGCATATATTTTTTCACATTCTCTAGGCTTTGAGTTGTAAATGACTATTTTTAGAGGCTAAAGCCAAATAATTTTTAAATTGATTACTAACAAATTTGTAAATTAAAAATCACGTACTGCATATAAATTACTATTTACCTGGCAATATATTAAACAAGTGGTTTAACCATTTACATATTTAAGATTATCGAAGTGAACTTCTTACATAATTCAAGACAATATTTTAATACATGTAAAAATTTTAGCTTAGCGTTGCCTGTCAACCTTGTTCAATCGATCAAACGTATCGGAATAAACGTATATTGCTTTTAAACGTATCGATCCAAAATTTAATATCTGAATATTATACAAATTAAAGGTATTTTAAAACCCCTTTTAAACATTTACTATCCTGGCTTTCTAACGTACAATTTATCTATTGTAATTATATATTTTCTCAAATCTACTACAATGAAATTCAGATACAGAATAACTACCTAGGGCCCACTAGTATATTCCTCGCAAAATGTTGAAAATAACTATGCCACATTAAATATAAAACTTTTAAAAAAAATTTTTAAGAAAATTTATTAAACGAATCATTTCTTCAAATTTTAAATGCATACAAAAATAAATAGGACAATCTCTTCCATCATAGTAACTAAAAAATAAAGGTTTTAAAAATTTTTAGTAAAAAAAGGTATTTGACCTTTTTAAGTTAAATTTTTATTTATCATCATACAGGTTTTTTCACGCTCTAGTAACGTATATTTATTATCTGGTTCAATTTTATATCTACCCAATAAGCATTATTTGGTTCAATTTTTAATGACTTATTTAGATCTGCAAGTGATTCTTTATATTTACTTATTAAACGATAAGTTTTTTCACGATTCCTTAACAGTTAATGTATCAATATTTAGTATTGGTTTTACTGTTATTTATTTGTCACTTTAATAAATATTTTTTATGGCTTGTCATTTTGCTATGGTTTTATATAATATTTTTTATAATAAATGACAATGTCATTTACAGTCATTTTTCATAAAAATTTTTATGAATTTGTCATTCGCCATCACTGGTTCAAGGAGGTAGAATGATTTATAAGATCAAAGGAGAAGCTCAGCCAAAAGTGATGATTAAAGCTTTAAGAATAAAGTTTATAAAGACCATTGCAACCATGTAAATAGATAGTAATATTTTATTATTGAAGCGAAGCACGAACGTTATTCAAAATGAATGCACGTCTATGCAATGTCCGTATCCAATACATTATTGGGACACTTTAAGAACACGGATGTGAATCATGCAATGACGTAATTTGTTTACTATCACCTAACCTCTAACTTAGGCCGAACACTTAATCCTTGAAGTGATGATCACGAAAATATCACTGGGTTCCTTGTTCTTGAAACTACCCACATTATTAACCTTAGTTCTTGTAGAAAAAATTTTCTATTGTTAGCGGCAAAACTGCGTCACGAGACCCGAAAACCCCGACTCGAAACCACACGAAGTCATGAAGAAATTGTGAGGAAATCGTTCCCACGAAGCCCCAAGAATATGGTGAAGACGAATCTGATTGAACCGGTTCGGGCTTGGGGCCGTGTCTAAATAAACAAACAATTGTAAACCTTGGGAGGAAACAATTGTTGTCGCGATGATTGTGCGATATTGCGCAATAGATTAGAAAAAAGGTATATCTTATTCTCCCCCGCATGTAAAAATTTTATAAAATGGACCTTGTTTTGCCCTTAATAAAAACAGCTTTGCGCTTGTAAAAATGTGAATAAAGTCGTTCGTTTAACTTGCCTTGCCAAATCAAATCGCCTCTAACCATTGGGTATATCGTGTGGTTTGGTTGTTGTTTTGGTGATGATTGCTCAGCCCGTGTTATCACTCAGTTGCCACTCACACTATATATTTTTATTAAGTAAAATTAAATTCTTAGATAAATCAATGCAAACAATTAATTTTGCATGCATAATTAACAATTTACAATAGTATACTAAATTAATTTAAAAAAAGTTTCTTTTTTTCAATATAAATAAGACATCCATTTTCTACAAAAACCAGAAATTTATATTTTTAAAAAATTCAAAAATCCATCAATATTTTATAATTAAATAATAAATTTCCAAACAAGATGAAATTCATTAGAAACCCCATAATTATCCTATTAGGAGGTTTCAAAGTTAACAAATAAGTGACGCATTTCAAAATTAAATAGGATTTTTTCAATAGCATTTTTATTATGTTGAATTATAACTCGTAAAAATAAAATAAGATTCTCTGATTTTAACTTTGAAACCCCCTATTGATTATTATGCCACTGTATATTTTCGTTTTCGGTGCTGGTAAGGATAATTATTATAATTTGATTTTTTTATTTTAGTGGTATGTTTTAGTCATAATGTTTATTAAAAATATGTAAAAACATTAAATGTAGCCCGTGTTAAAAAAGTTAAAAGAGGTAATATCGTCAATTATTTTTCTAAAAATTTTTAATTATAATTTAGTACATTAACCAACTAATTATTTCTTTGAAAATATATGAAAATTTTAATTTAGATTTTACTTGTCCAGAGGCTGATGGACTTTACGCTAATCCAGATGATTGTAATTCTTTCATTGAATGCTCTGACGGTCAACCATATGTGATACCTTGCCCTGAAGATACACAATGGAGTTCAAGAGCATTAAGCTGTGATTGGCAAGAAAATTCTGATTGCGAGGTTTATAAACTATTAAGTACGTAGGAGGGTCTCAAATTACATAACAACAGGCTATAAGGGAGTCAAAAATAAATAAATAAATAAATGTAACACAATTTTGGTTTTGTTTTTGTTTTTTTATTTCAAATATTATAAGTATTGTTAAACTAATTCAATATAGCAATCAGGGAATTAAAAGTCAATAAAATAACAAATCTTTAACGTAAGCCCAATATTAAATCAATAGCATTTAAAATAATTTGGTTTGCATCTACAAAAAGCATAATCACGTTTGTGGGTAATGCATTTTGGATTTGAATCAAAGAAATCTAATTTAAAAATACAGTAAATAATAAAATAAAATAGAGAAATAAAAAAGAAAAAAAAAAGTGCGGTTGTATAGCACGAGATGTATTTTATTAAATATGCAAAAAATGTTATGATTGTAGAAGGTGGACATATGGGGTGTAGGCAATAGAAACAGCCCATTTTTACATATATCTTATTTTGAGATAATTGAGTTTAATCATTTGTTTTGATTTTCGGACTGATCCGGGATTAATCAAATTTCACGATTTTGATTAGTTAAGGTAGCAGGTGACTATCGGATAATCTCGTGATGGAAGTCTCGTGTAATTTTTCTTTTAGATTTTTTATTATGCAAATCGACTTCCGTTTATAATTGAAAAAAGTCAATCATGTCAAAATTTATTTTTCAAAAAAATGTAAAATGGGCTGTTTCTATTACATGCACCCTATATATTTGTACCAGTCGTTTGCGTTTCATATCTTATCTTGTTATTTATCTGAGACTACATACGTACGTACATAATATTTTTGTATTTTTCAGTATGATAAAATTGCTGAATGAACAATCAAATTATAAACATTTGTAAACCGTCAATAGTGTAGAATTGTTATACCAATATTGTGGAGCGAACCAGAACACCATTTTGGAGATATAAAATTTAAAAAAAATAATTTTTGAAGTTAAATCATGAAGAGAAACCTCTTTTAACTCCTTATAAAATTATCCTTCCGAGTCTCTCAAAACTATTATTCGAGTATGCATGTTATATCAATCTATTAACATCATTTACTTGTATTTTGGAACTAGAAATAGGCTTCGTTATAAAAATATAAAACAGAATATAATCTTGAAAATGCTATTAAATGTTCTTTGATTGCAATGATTCTAGTAAGAATCTTAAATTTTTAGACCTTAACGAAATTATTTGCAATCAAATAATATTTAAAAATCTTATAAGAACACTATTATTACCTATATAAATTTAAATAATAAATATAACGATAAAGCAATAGGCTTATTAGTAACGTTCCTTTATTAAAATTCTACTTTGACTTCTTTGAAACCTATGTCAATTCAAATTCAACGTGAGTCTGATGATGTGAAAAGGATTTTAGAAGCTCTTTATAAAAACACTGCCCTAAATTCTTTGATATATGTAAGATTTAGATTAATACTGAATGGGCGAAGGTTTTAGCTAAGTTTTTTGAAAGAACACAACGCTGACTTGATGCAAATAATCTTGAACCATGAGGAAAAATATTAGCAGATGTACTTTGTAAAGACACCACATTGACTTCTTTGCATTTTGGACGAGAAAAGCACTGACAGATGCACTTTACAAAAACACCACGCTGACTGATTTGAATCTTGAACATAATTATTATCTTGGAGCAGAAGGAGGAAAAGCATTGGTTGAAAAAGCACCACTCGACTTCTTTGAATATCTTTAATAATAGACTTAGATCAGTAGGAAGAAAACCATTAGCAGATGCACTTTGCAAGAATACCATTCTTATTTAATGGTAAAGAATTTGGATTAAAAGGAGGAAAATCACACTGGCTTATTTGAATCTTGAACATAATTATCTTGGAGCAGAAAGAGGAAAAGCATTAACGATGCACTTTGCAAAAACATCACTCTGACTTAATGATAATGGACTCTGATCAGAAGGAGGAAAGCATTAGCTGATGTACTTTGCAAAAACGCCACGCTGACTTCATTGAACCTTTATTTTGGAAAGAGCATTTGCAGACGCACTTTGCAAGAACACCATGCTAACTGCTTTGGATCTTGCTAGTAATAATCTTGGATCAGAAGGAAGAAAAACATTATCAAATGTACTTTGCAAGAACACTACACTGACTTCTTTGAATCTCTTTAATAATAGACTTAGATCAGTAGGAAGAAAACAATTAGCAGATGCACTTTGCAAGAATACCATTCTTATTTCTTTGGTAATGAATTTGGATTAAAAGGAGGGAAAGCATTAGCAGATGCACTTCGCAAGAATACTACGTTTACTTCCATGGATCTTCAAAAGAATAGACTTGGACTAGAAGAAGGTAGAGCATTAGCTATTTCACTTGCAAGTAACTAAATAGAATATTAATTTTCTCATTTAGATAAAATATTTAATAATACTAAATTTCTTTTTATAATAATCACTATAACTAATATTAAACCATTAAATAAAAAAATATATTGATTTTTTACTTTGATTTGCTAGTTAAAATTCTTATAGCAATTGTGACAATTACAACAAAATTTTGGTTGTTTGAATTTTAACTTGCGCTTTATTGTGTTTTTTTTTAAATCCAGTTAATAAATTTTTGTTTATATTGAAATTTTTTTTTTTTATTAGTGTCTGCTCGTGTAATATATTTTATTATGAAAACTTATGTTCGGAACTTTATTTATATTTTATATTAAGTTGTTGGTTGGCATGAACGATCTTCGCCATAATTTTCGTATAGGCCAAACACACCAACATACATATTGGACATGCATTCAAGAGAAAACTTAATTTTTAAATGTTATCAGTATAGTTGTTAGACGAAACCTTGAGGTTTCGCACTGATGAAATGCGAAACCTAGTTTCGTCTTTCGTCAACTAAAATCTCAAATGACGAAATGACGAAAGGTGACAAAACTGGTGAAAGGTGACGAAACTGACGAAACTGATGAAACTGCAAAGGGTACAAAACTAATAAAAGATGAGAAACGGAAGTAAGGGCGCCACTGACTCCTACATTTATGTTTTTATAAGACTAAAATTTAAAACATACAATTGTATCAATTTTAATAAGTAACTTAAGAAGTAATTGATCAATTAAGTAAATTAGCACAATTAAGATTATATTATTACGCCTATTGGCTAAATCAATAAAAGACTTTTATTAATAAATTAGCACAGATGATAAAAATTAATAAGAGGTACGTACATACATTGTTTTCAGATCTTTCAATTAAATATACAAGCCGGGTCAAACCAATAAACATCTTCGGCATTAAACTTAGATGTAGAGGTTGGATCCGTGAATGTTCACGGATGAAAATGTATATTCAATTAAAAGTGAATATTTGGTTACACGAAATTCATGAATTAAATCATGAATATTCAACGAATATCTGTATGAATATTCTATATGAATATTTGTACAAATATCTGTATGAATATTCAACAAATATCCATACGAATATTCAACAAATATCTGTATGAATATTCAACAAATATCCGTACGAATATTCATGTGAATATTCTACAAATATCTGTATGAATATTTGACGCGAATATACACACAATTTATGTACAAATATATACGTATAATTATGCAAGCTAATAATGTGCTACAAAATTAGGGTATCCCGGATATACTTATCTTGAGCCTCCAATAAGCCGCAGCAAGACCCAAAGACCTTGAACCTCGGACCAAGTCTCACCATGCCTTTTTCTGCCTTCCCCGTCAAGGTTTAGAGTCTTGGAGGATAGTTAGATTAGTTTTAGTGTTTATATTAGTTAGTTAGTTAGAATTTATTCAAAACATAGTAGTCACACTTTCTCAATGTGCAACGTTATACACAAATCACTCCCGTTATAGTAAGTGAGGGCTAATTGATTAACTTAAGTTGAATACCGGAATACTATTGGTAATATCATGTGTTGTGACCAAATGTAACATGAAATAACAAGGAACCGAGTCAAATTTAAAACTCGACTTTTGTTGAAATTTGTGAAACTCATAATCACTAAAGAAAGCAAATTCGAGGAAGATCAATTACCTAAATTAAATATCAATACAACCGAAATTACCAAAATAAATAATTTAGCGTAACACCAAACGCTAACGAATACATGACATTTGTGTAACATTTAACGGTTGGTACACTGTACACCATGAAAATATATTTTAATTTCACAAGAATTATGATGGTTTACCCCTTCTAAAAGAAATTATTAATTCTATTTCTAAAATGGGTTAATTTTAAAATGTACCCATATGACGTTCCTGGTTTTAACTGGTCGCGTAATAAGGTTTATGGAACACTGTATATGCTCGTGATCATGTAATTTATATGTTCTTACGGACGTGCATGTCCGTGAGGTTCCGAGTTTCAGGGAGTTCTTATGGGTCTAATAATACGTATATACGTAGCAATTGTGCCTGCATATAAATGAACGTTGTGTATTGTAATACATATTTTAAAAATTTAATGCCTCCGTATGTAATACATTTTTTCTTGCACCAAAATGTCGATTTACAATAAACTATTCGTAGAGAGGCCAGAAGACATCGTTAAAGATATGTGTAACTTGTATAATGAAGAAATATTGAAAGGCAAAAATTCCTGTTCGATAATTGATACATTAGAACAATTTCTGATAAAGAAGAAGCAAAATCCATATAATATTATTGATTTTTGCTTAGATACTCAAGTAAATCCTATGGTTCAAATCATTCTTGCAAGTTGTTATCGTCATGGTAAATGGGTTGAAAAGGATGAGCGTAAAGCATTCATTTATTATCAAAAATCTGCTGAGATGGGTGACTCTAATGGAACGTTTAATGTTGGATATTGTTATCATAATGGAATTGGAGTTGAAAAGGATGGATGTAAGGCATTCATTTATTATCAAAAATCTGCAGAGATGGGTAACACTAGTGGAACATGTAATGTCGGATATTGTTATCATCATGGAAATGGAGTTGAAAAGGATGAATATAAGGCTTTAAT